GGTGTCTTGAGGACCTCGACACGCAAACGTTTCTTTCCCTCTTGTTATTTACTGAATTGAATAGGATCCAAAATGCAGCAGTCTGATTGGTCCTAGAACAATAGGATCCAAAATGCAGCAGTCTGATTGGTCCTAGAATAGGATCCAAAATGCAGCAGTCTGATTGGTCCTAGAACAATAGGATTCAGAATGCAGCAGTCCGATTGGTCCTAGAACAATGCAGCAGTATTGGTCCGCAGGAGCCACCCAATCCAGCTCCAGATGGAAGTGAATCCACAACCTGATTGGCCTACAGGAGAATCCTGGAATTAGCCAATCACGTGGGACCCATTGTGTAAATAATGTATATAAGCAGACATCCTTGGGGGAACTTCCATTCCTCCTCACTACTATGAGCTGAATAAAGAGCATGAAATCCACTCTCGACTCCGAGTATATTTCACCTCTCATAATACTAGAGTCAAGGAGTCAGCCAATGAAACTGAATGGTTGACAACGCAGCGTCTTCCATAGTTCATCTGTGCACAATCGGCTATTGGCACAGCATCCTCCCCACTTGTGATTCCCATCAGCTGCCATTGAGTGGCAGACTGCCTCTGGCAGTGTGGAGCAGAATGCAGCCATCTTGGTTAGCAGCCATTGATTGCCTTATCCATCAAGTCCATCAGCCTTTGTTTTTAGGCAAGTCCATATGTCCTCTGATATTTGGGGGAACACCATCGCTCACCATAGCTTTGCATGCAGAACCAGTCTCCAGGGTCAATCTGCAGGTGATAAGAGGGAAGCCCCCATTTGGAGAGCTGCTGTCTGTCAAAGTAGGTAACAGTGGGTTAGGCAGAGATACATTCTAACCTGGTCAAAGGCAGCCTTCCTATAGAATTGGCAAACCAAGCAGGCCTCGTTCCAAGTTTTTCAACCTTGGCACAAGACAATTTCCCTGGAAGCAGATACCGTATTTTTCGCTCTATAGGATGCACTTTTTCCCCTCCAAAAATGAAGGGGAAATGTATGTGCGTCCTATGGAGCGAATGCAGGCTTTCGCTGAAGCCTGGAGAGCAAGAGGGGTCGGTGCGCACCTTTCCCCCCCTTTATTTCCCCCCCTAAAAACTAGGCGTACCCTATGGTCCGGTGTGCCCTATGGAGCGAAAAATATGGTACTCTGCCATGTGTCTTTCCATCTTTCAGCACGTTTTCCTTGCTGCTCAAGATACGATTATTCAGACATGCAGCCCATGTGTCATCTGTGACTCATCCTCTTTTTTCTTCTACATCCAATTCAGTCATTTCTTCCTGTCCAACTGACTACAATAATAGCTTTCCCCTTTGAAGTTGTTCCTTATCTATCCTACTGCTTTCTATGCTGCTGCGACTGTCTGTCCCATGCAAAATAAACAAAAAATGTGTGTGTGTGTGTGAATCCTGACTAATCAAACAGCAACATAAAGCAAAAAATCAACAATACAATAATAAAAATGAAGGTGGCAGGCTTAAATAAATTTCATGATCAGTCAATATATGCCCCAAATCTAATAGCTGTGTTCCCCTCACAGAGCTGCAAGCTCCAATTCCCAAGGAAGAGGAACTAACCTCTCAGCACCCTTAATAAACTACAGTTCCCAGGATTTTAGAGGGGGAGTCATGACTGTGTAAATAGCTTTGATATTGCTTTAAATGTATGGTGTAGATGGGGCCTAAAACCACGAGGAGATGAACATCTGGGGCAGAAGGGAGAGGGCAAGGAAGACCTTATACAAGAATGGGTGTATTATGAAGTCACATAGAGCTAGAAGGGACTTGAGTTCAACATTCTGCATTGCAAGGCTCGAACCCATGACCTTGACCATACATGCATACATAAATGTATGGTTTAGATGCAACTGCCGTCTAACATCCCTGGAAACAAATCGAGATATGAATCGTTGCAATAAACAAGCATAAGGCTTCTTTGTTTTTAAAGGGGTGATGGTTGTAGCCACGCTTTTACATTTGAAAGCACAGGCATGTGTCATCAACCATTTAGTTGACGAGCTGGTAAAGCGCAACTATGCCCTGATTGATCCAGTGCTTCTGGGACAAATCAGAAGTGAGCTCAATGTAGAGGACGCAATTGGTGGACTGGCCATTGGTGGACAGCGTGCCTCTCCCAGCACTGGTTTCGAATATGGCACACACGTAAATTCCCTTGTGTAGAATTTTGGTACCCTCGCCAGGATTCAGCCAAATGATGGGCAGGGAGTCATACAGGATTTTGGGGAAAGGCTCTCCAATCCTCATGGTCTCCCTGTCCCAACGGGGCCCTTCCAAATAAAGCCCTTTCTCATGGACTCCATCTTCAGGCAGTTGAGTCATACTGTGCTCCTGTATCATCACCTAAACTGGGTGGGGAAAGGAGAAATGAGATGGTGTATTAAAACATGGCCTAGGTCTTGCTAGTTGCTAGCCATTGCAAGGAATGTCTCCTGTAGGTTACCAAGTATTATTTTTGCATAGTATACAGGAGCTCTTAAACATGGAGTGAAATGGTTTTACTTACCTGAAATTCAAGTCCAGTGTGATCTATTGTGATGCCGTATTTCCTGGCATAGTTCTGTGAAACTATGACAACTGAGTAGCAGTTGGAACCATAGCAACTTCCAACAAGATCAAATGTTGGGGGTTCGATATGTATCTTCCCCATGTTGACTGCAATGAACAGTTGGGTGGCTGGAATGATTTTCTCTGGTCTCAGGCATCAGAAGATGACCATGCGGTCAAGACCTGTGAACAGATTGGCAGACTCATAAATCATTTTGTATTCCACAACATTGGACTCCAAAGTCCTTATAGAGTTGGTGTCGGACAACTTGATAACGGAAAGCTTATTGCCCTTTTCCATATTTTTGACCCACTTGTTGGCTTGTCCTTGAGGATCAATCATTAAAGCCCTTCGTCTTGAGATGGAAACAATGATGCCATTGTCAATCGAAAAGGAA